GCACCACAGGCAGTGAAAACATCAGATTTTCAGTTATGGCCTGAGGGATTTACAAGCTATTATTATCGTATTTTGGGGACTACTGTTGTACTGTCATCTTTTCTCAAAGCTCTTGAAATTTCATGTTAAGATAAACTTCTGAAAAACCAAAGTTAAAGTAAATAATTCCCTGACTGATTCATAAATCTGTCAGAACTAGTTAAAAAATCAGATCACTGGTACTAAATGCAAACTTCCTGGTACACATGGGTGAAAGGAGATCTAATGCATGATGGGATAAAGAACTGCCAGTCTTGTTAAAAACGGAGATTAATCTAAACCTCACTGAAGCTAATGGGACTTTCCATTAACTTCTACAGTCTTTGGATCAGGTCCTGTAGTTTATTTTTCTCTGTCCTTTTATCTTCTCTCCCTTTCAGATTTGTTTTTCTCCTTTATGTGTTACAAGAGCAGTACTGAGAGCTGAAATGGACAATGCTTAGCTGGCAGTCATTCTCTGGTAATTAGACTGAGTCTCAAACACCTGACCTGCACATCTATGGATATCAAGCACGTCTGAGTGCCCAATTACCCAGGAGTATTAAGAAATAGGTTTGGAGGATGGGCAAATGATTTGATTCTTAAACTCTTCTCTAGTTGACGCTGTATATGCTGCTTCTTTAGCACAGCCTAGAAGACCCAACGAGAGACTGGAGGTCAAATCCTGTCTGAACCATCATACACGGTGAACAATTTCTTCATACTGTTCAGGATCTTTGACCTTTAGAAAGTCTACAGCATTCGTAATTATATCTAAAGCAGCTTTGATGGTGTCTTCCTCTATAATGGATTCACAGACATGAATAATACTCCTTAATTTTCAAGTATTTCTTTTTCAAATTAATATTTCAAAGAAAAAAAACCCCTTATCTTGTTAAGAAGAAGAGTTTTTAGGGTTGTAGCTCTTGCATAGGATGATACAGTTTGGTGGCCTCTCTTGTTAAAAATGTTCTAGTACCCATCTAATGCCCACTTATTTATGGATTTTAGACTAAAAGCCCTTTTTTGCCAGTTTTCTTCACAAGCACTTATCTCAACATCCTCATTAGATGGTTTTTCTCTTTTCTTTTTTTCAAGGCCTATCCATGCCCTTGGTACTTTCTTTTGTTCCATTCTGCAAAAGGAATGGCTTTAAAGGATCTCTCTCCACCAGTTTCAACTTTTTTTCCTTTGTAATTAGCCTTATTTGAGGAGCAGAAAAGTAGAAGACCAGAGAGAAATAATAATAAAAAACCCTGGTGAACAAAGGAGATGATATTCTTTACTTCAATCATATGCTGTATAGCCTGAGTCAAAGAACTTGCACATCTTTCTTTCTTTTTTTTTTTTAAATCTGACTCATATAGTACATGTAAGCCAGCTGAGAGAAAATTTTGAAGCTAAAGAAGAAGAATCTTTTATTCAGATGGTTGTTGTTATTACCAGGAGCTTATTTAAAAGTTATAATTAAAGAAATCTTTTGCAGACAGTAATTCGGAAAGGAAAGATACATTTGCCATCATCTGCTGAGAAGGAATATATTGATAGTATTAATACACAAATGTATGAATAAGAAAGAATATATTTGATGTTAATGGGCAAGTGTATGAATATGTATATTTCAAAAATAAGCAGTGAAATAATCTGAACTATAATGGAACTTGAATATGAATTACTGTAGAATAAAGTCTAGAACTACTTGTATCATAACTAAATCTGGTGTCAATCTTTATTCAAAAAATAGGGGAGAAGAATTTCTTTGGTATTCTCTTTCAAACTGAAAGAAATACCCAATACATATTGGCAGTTCTGATAAATCTTAAAACTCTAGAAGGTATTTCAGCATACACACCACCTGTGGAAATACAGACACCTGAATTTGTAGTGGTTCTGAAACTCACTTGTGAATGGTTCAGAAGAGCTATGAAAAAGAAAAAAAAGAGGGTGCCTTTCTTATAAAGAAAGTGAATGGATTTGTATTCTAACTTTCTTCTTTAAAAACGAAAGAACATTTGTACCTTGAATATCAGGTCTTGACTTCCTAGGTTTTGTTTGCTCTTTTTGTCTTTTCCCTTTTTGGTAGACAGTTCTTACAAGACTAGATATCTAAATGAAGGAACATTTACCACCTGGAACAAAAGGATATTTGAAACTTCAAAAGATAGAACTCTTCTCCAAAAAAATTTCCAAGCATTTCAGTTAAGAATATGTATAGAACATCTTTTACTATTAGAAGTCTACAGCTGTGAAATTCTTACTCTTTTTTTTAAATATTTGTGAATTATGTATTTTTATTATTAATATCACTCTGAATACATACATGAAATTTATTTTGCCACCAAAAAGTAGATTAGCTAACTTTTATATACTTGAAGATCACTAAATTTGTGTCTTGTGTTGACTGTCCTGATTTTATGTTCAGTCTAAAATATGTTCAGCTAAAGCTAGTAGTAATTTCCACAGACGTTATAAGATTATCTAATATTTACTATAAAAGAAGCAACATACATGTAAAGCTTTGATTATTTAATTTTTGTTTATATGTCTAACTTTTAATAATTTTAGAGTTATCCAACTCAAACTAATTTTGATGGGTACACAGGTCAGTTAAATATTTACACAATTGGGATACTTCTGTGAATTTTACTCACACGACAAGATCTTTTTTAATCTGCCAAACTGAACAGAAAGAGACATTCCAGCAAGATGATAGGCCATTTGTTCTGCTGCTTACATGAGAACAACCACCTTTTTTTGCCACTGATTTTTTTTTTTAGTTCTAGTTGAAATTCTAGTGAAAACAAAACAGTATGGATCATTTGAGAATGATCGCTATATGCTTTTGAATCTTAAAAAATTTATTTAAATTTAGTTTGCATTTTGGGCAAAGAGTTCAGGTATTTGTTATCTAAATAGGATCACTATTCCTCATTTTGCATATCATGAACCCAGTCAATCTACTGACATTCTATGTATCAAGATGTGTAGGTTCATACTTGCAAAACAGGTGACAATTCATTGGTTTGCATACTGCTACAAACTGCAAGTCCGAAGTGGTTAAATCTCTCATTTTGTCTCCGTACCTCGTCAGAGTTCTGTGGTCTCTGCTCATTTACAAAATTGTCTCAGCTAATGCAAATGCATTATGTAATCCATGCTCATGATGGACTATCAGATTTAGAGTTTGTGGCATGCATTGTTTAAAGAATTACATATGTTTCTGTTATAATTTACTATACTGCATGCTTAAGACATCTAGATGCGCTATATTTTATCAAGTAAAGCACTTTCTTTTTTGTAAAGGGAAGTGTACTTGTTTTTATTTTTATTTCATGTTTTTTTATTTCATATTTCCTTTTATATTTCCAGTTACAAGTTGACATTTTCAATCGATCTCTAGCCGAACCCAGCTATAGCCTAGGTATGTGCAGGAAAGGCAGACAAGGATCACAGACTTTCCAAAATCTGTAAATGTGCAAATACCTGTGGTGCTTCACCTGCATGAAGTTTGGCACAGAAAACATCTGTGGGAAAATTAGAAACTGGTTCTTGCTCAGGCTAAGGGCAAGTGAAGAGATTTATGGAAGGGATTTATATCTCCTTCTTTCCTTAATAATCTCAACCTAATGAGCTGAGAAGAACACACCATGAAGTTATTTTAACTATATCATGATAGAATAAGCATAATTGGATGCAACTAATTGTTTCAAAATCTATTCAGTTACATTGCACAATTAAATTTCATTTAGCAGCATGTTGCATAGATTAAATATGTTGAATACAAATTATTTTTAATTTTTTCCTTTTCATTGGTAGGTAACTTACCCACATATTAGTGGTAACTTACTTACTTTGTCTGGCAGTAGGCATTTTAAGGACAAGTGATCAGTTTCCCACAGGAAATGACCCCTTCCTACTTTTTAAAGTAACCAGACAGAAGCCAGAGAGGCAGTTTTCTCTATCTTAACTTGTACATATGCAAGTATAATTTAAAATGCTAATGAGAGACATTAGGAAAGACTTCTTTACTAGCAGGTCAGCGTAGCTCTGGAATAGGCTACTGAGAGAAGCTACGCATCTCCATCCTTGGATGTTATCAAGACTCAACTTGACAACACCACAGCTGACCTGCTATAGCATTGACAATCATCCCACCTTGAGCCAGAGGCTGGACTAGATGACCTCCATAGGTTCCTTCGAAACAACATTTCTACCATCCTGTGATTAAACTGAATGAATCCATACTTTAATTAGGCACAGTCAACTTCTGACTTCATTACTCATTCACAAAAGAGAGATCAATATTAAGTTGTTACTTAAAACCCGTATTTTTCATAAAATCTTTCTTCAAATACCTGAAGCAAAAGCATCTCCGATGGTTCTGAATGCCATTTAAGCAGAATGGCTACGTTTTTGTTGCCTGGCCAAATGTTCTTAAACAGCACTCTATGCCCTTGATTATGGGTTTTCATATTAAGCTGAGAAAGAAACCTGCTCTGTGCTGACAGACCTGAGGACAGTAGAATTGCTCTGATCCTGCTGTGCAGAACTTGTTCCTTTGTGAAAATGTATTTATGTAAGTAGTGAGTCTACTATTCAGTTAGCTGAGCTGAAGTGGGATCCCTAAAACAGAAGAATTGGAAGAAAACAGATGAGGCAGAATCAGAACTACAATAACTGGTAACATACAGATCTCAAAAGTGTCTTCTTATGTTACTCATGACTCATGTCAGACTCCTGCTGTGGAAGGCAGCTGGGCCCTGTAATCCTGTTCAAGAACTGATGAAATGTCCTCTTTAAAATCAACCCAGTTTGCTCTCTCCATTAATATTTTAAAGCAGTTGTTCCAGAGCTCACCCCTCTTAAAGTTAAAAACCATTTAATTTCCAATGATATGCATGCCCAAATTCAATCCCATTTCTTGTGCCAACTCAGATGGCTCTTTTGCCACACTCTTCCTCACAGAGATCTTCTACTGAGGAGATTGAAGTAGACGGACGCCTGTAAAGTTGAAAGCAGACGACCCTTTATTGCTAAAACACACATGTATTTATAGTCACATATTCTGCAAAGTCATTGTACACGTGCACAAGCATAAAATATGATTGGTTATACCAACTCTGTACACGCGCATAAGCATAAGATATAATTGGTTACATCAACTTAAACATGCGAAGCTTGTCTCAGTCTAATTGGTCGAGATAAACTGCCGAATTGAGGGGTTTTGTGCCAAGTTCCCTTTATCATGGAATGCACACCTGTGTTCTTCTAACTGGCTTTATTATCATCTTTCTTTTTTTGTCTTCTTGATTATTCTGTTCAAAGTCTTCTAAAGATGTCTGCAATGCTCTTGCGACCAGCGTTAGCTAAATATGTGTCCACATTCTACCTGCTACCAAAGGTTGGTCACTAGTAAGAAAATTTGCTTCTTGATATAAAATGAAAGCAAATTTATTTTTGTTTGCAAATAAACAAGGAGTGCTTTCCCACAAGTTCTGTCTGTCCAATCAAATACCAGAAAGACAAACTATATTCATGGCACCTCTTCAAATGAGTAGCACCACAATAAGGGTTTGCGCAGCACCTCTTTCTTTGGACTTAGTATGTAAAACGAGATTGTTGGGAACCACAGAGCAGCAGGAAAGAAAGAAAACTACTGAGTTTCAGGTGGATCTGCATCTGCCTCAACCATGCATACTAGCTCCCATGTCATCAACACTAATGTTACAATGGCACTCAATGCTCACAGTATCGCCAGTAGCCTGAAACCATACACATTAAACCTTACACAGTAAAGTCTGAGATGAAGGCATCCTGCCAATCTGTTCTCCCCATACTTTACAAATCTTGCAGACACCTAAAAGGGTTATCTCGAGTCCTCCTCACAGTAAATAAAATATTCTTTAAAAGGCTTTTGGGGATCCTCAGGGCATTCCAGTATTGCCAGGAAGATGCTTTACCCTACCTAGTAGAGAAATACATAACAATGTGCTTTAAAAATTAAAAATTTAGAAGAATCTGAATAATTGCTTCCTGTCAATTTTCTAGGTTGGCATCATGTAATTCAGGAGTGCACCATCTCAACAAATTCATTTGGAAATGTCTGTCTAGCCTGTGGAAAAGCTATGTAAAACTGTGTACAGAGCACAATACATAATGAAGTTTACACTTGCTTTGGGTTTGTCCTGAGGAACATACAGCAATTCTGACATGGTATCTGACAGTGTTACTAGTTACAACATGCAGCCTTGTAGCAGAGGAGTCTATTTCCTGTTCAAAGGTGAAACCAAAAACTTTAATAAAAATTTACAAGTCATTTGCCTCAAAGTATTAGCATTTGGTTCTCCTTAAAAAATAAATAAGTAACTGCATTATCAGAATAAATGAACAACAAAGTTATTATTTAGATATTCAAACTACAGGTCAGAACAAAAAATCCATAATGAAATCAGTGGTTTTCAATCTGATTTTTTAGGTGTGCATATGCTATAGTCTCAGACCACTCCCTTTTGACCTGATGATAAGAGTCAGTCAAAACTAAATTGATCAGGGTGTTGTACTCTGATTTGCTCAAATAATTGCATTTTGTTTTCTGACCTGCACAAAATGGAGCTGTGTGCATAAGCAGGGATGAATATCCCACAGGCAGAAAGACTCCGGTTTATTTCAGTACCTTTCTGGTTCTGGAAATAGAACATGCAGGAAAAAGTAAAATGGTAAGACATATTTGTTTAGAATATACATTCCCTACATGCATCAACTAAAATGTCATCAATCTTGAACAGATTTGCACACAGCAAAATCTCTGAAAATTGCGAAGCGCTGTTTGAAAACATTAAGGCAACAGAATTTCTCAGCAAAGCAGCAGTTAAGCAAATAAACACACTGTGAAAATAACATATTTTTCCCTAGGTTTTTTCCAGAAAACAGATGGATTTTATTTGTTTTGCTGCTTTTTAAAAAAAGTTAGCCTCAAAGCAGACTCAGCCAGAAGAATTTCAAACTGTATGGCTTCCTATATCTGAAAGCTAAAGGCGTATCAGGCCATCCTAATGCTAAGCATATTTACACTGTGACAAGAACTGTAATATAAATAACTTTTGTATTAACCTGGAAAAATGTTAAAGGCTAAAGAAAGAATATTGTGCCTAAATACAATGTAGAAAAGTGAAAAAATACATATTTGAGATAGGAGTACAATTAGATATTCTCAAGTTAAGCATTCTTGCAGAACCACTGCTGCTTCCACCAGTGTTGTCAAGGTCTCTTGATTTAGATGGGTAATGAATCTATTACAGATTATACACACATTCCACTAGTTTCATGTATTTATATACGTATTTTGAATGAATCATTCTGAATACTGTGGCTGATTTCCTGAGCCAAGAAGACTACAGTTTCTGTTTGAGCTACAGGATATTCAGCAAGAAAATAAACATTTTGATTGGAAAAGTGACTAATATTGATTCCATTACTTGTCTTGTTAAAAACTAGATGATGCTGCTAATTTTCATTTGTCTTGCTTTCGTTTCTAGGCTCTGAATCTTGTAATGTATTTCTCTACTGGGTTCATACAGCATGAATCATCACATATTTTCTCCCAATATTTTACTGCATGCTGGTGAGGACCAATCCTCATCTTAGTCTTCTTTTTCTGATAAGCTAAATTTATCAAGGTATTTATAACTATCGCTATAAACCAGGCACTGTTAATGTCAAATATGCATATTACTTTTAAAATTCCTTTCCAATTCTCAACATTAAAAACCACTGACAACTAAAATGGACACAAACTATTTTGATTCTCCTTCACACTTTCTCTTTGCCCCCTTCCTATGTTCAACCTGGCTTCCTGTTTTTTTTTCAGCAATGCCATGAGCAATGCCACGAACAACAATGCTGCTACGCCTGTAATAACTCAGTACTCCTCTGTGTATGTACATTATCCAGCTACTAGAATGGCCAACAGTGTTGCACTGAATATTTATATTCAAGAATTGTGGTAGGTATCCAGCTAATATATTTTAAAATCATAAAATATATAGAGGATTTAACCAAATGCACTTAAAAATACTTGGCAGATCTTGGCCTTAGCTATTAATCCTATTTATTTTCAGTGAAACTAAGGAAATACAACTGAAGAAAATCCTTTCATACCAGAACCCTAAAAATATGTTAATATATTAAATCTATTGATTTTGAACTTTTATTTTATTTAGTTTCTGCCTGGCAATATTTTTACCAGACAATTAGGAGGAGGAGATTTCCCAGAAGTCAGCTCAAGTCTGACTAGAGGTCAAAATTTCCCCACAGATATTCATGCACAATCTGGCTGTACAATGTATGCCTCATTCAGAAAGAAAACTTTTTAGAAGATATTCTACCTCTTAATATACTTTGACCTAAAAATTCAGAGACAACTCTTGTGAATCAGTACAAGTGTTACAAAGAGTTTAAAAATGGGTTATAAAAATTCTTAAAATTGTAAGGGTAAAAAGTTTTGAATAAGCCATGTTTTTAAAGCAATATTTAACTTTTAACTTCGGTATCTTGGATACCACTATTTATATGACACAGATCAGATGCAGGCAAAGAATAGATCAAATGAAAAGAAAGAAAACAAAGAGGAGGAGAGAACTACTCTTCAGTGACCAAACCACTTTCTCTTCATTTGCAGGAAGAAGGTAGTGAAAGTTTGAGAGTGCTGCCTTTAGGGGACCAGAGATGCAAAATGTTGATTTCATCTTTTCCCGTTGCTCTCCCAGGGCAGGGCGTACTGCTCCTGGCTTCAAGGCAACATCAGCAGTGTTCAATTGCAGGCCTAGCAAGAACACCCACTAGCTATACTCAAGGCAGTATTATTGAGCCCTTTCTCTAAGTCTATGTACTACCTCAGTTTAAACTTCTAGTTCTGATTATTGATCAAACAAAAAATTTCCACTCGAGCAGTCCTGCCAGAAAGCCAGGAGATTTTCTGCACAGAAGCACAGTCCTTCCGTAATGGTAGCCCATATACTGAGGCTCCCTGTTCAGTTTTGTATCCTGACAACTATGCTCCTGGGGTGCCTTGAGATATGCCTGAAGTACTTCTCTACCATCCACCTACTCTTTATTGGCTCTTCACCCTGACACTAGACAGCAGCCTCACACTGATCCTCTTCACCTTGCCACAGAGCATTCCCCAGCTGCAAGGTGCCATGAACATGTCTTGGGATAATGGTCCATCTTTACACATTTGCAGAAAATGCTTCAGAGAATCACGAACCCTAAATTTATGATTTTCCCCGATCTACCTGAACCCCAACTTAAGCCAAGTTTAATGACAAAAAGCTGCCAAAGAATTATTAAGCAAGCAATAAATTTAGACTTTTAGTTCAAGAATGGAAACCCTGAACTCCCACTTATATCCTAAGCCTGGTTGCTCAGCCAGTAAGACTTTAACCTTTAGATCTGTAACCTCTATCTTTTTTATACTTTGCTGTTAGTTTTGGAACACAAAAGCAAATACCCTAAGTGCACCAGCACAGTACGGATAATTTTATCAGTGGGAACTATGGTCATACTTATATAGTAAAGACCATCTCTTAACAAGGGATGCCTTTTAAACTGGAGACTACATCCACAACCAGCAATGCCAGAAACTGATGAACTGAAATCAAGTAACAAGTAACTATACAAAATTTGCTTTTATGGAATACAATATGAAACACAGGCTTAAGTATCCTCTTTGAATAACCTGAGACCTGTTACTTTAATTTATTAGACATTTGGAATTGCACACAGGGAAAAAAAAAAAAGGTGATACTTCTTCCTGAGCTAACAAAGTAAAGTTGTTAACGTCTAATTTTGAACTCTACCTTTGTGCTTTAGCAGATCTGAAGACAGAGCTTGACAAACTGGAGTATTTATCCAGACAAAAATAGCCACTCAGCTGTGCTTTAGTGCCATTTTCTGTCACACCAGCATGACAGCACTAAGTGTTTAGTTCAAATAAGTGGTTCTACGTCCTCTGATAATACAACATGGTTCCAGCATTCTGTTCACTACAATTTCAGCTCCATCAGGGGTGGCACAAGACAGCTCAGTATTCCCAGAGATTTTCAAACTGTGGTGCATGTGCTCTATTATGCACTCAAGCCGTCTGGTCCATTTGGACTGGATTCACCAGGGAATACAATTAGCTGGCCATTTTATTTACACAACCCAGCCTGCCAATTTGTCTGGAGCTTCAGTTATTTTTATTTTTCTCTTTCTTGCAGTTTCGAATTATTTCTGATGTGGTAGCTGTCTGTAGCACAAATTTTTCTTCCACTGATCATTAGCGTGTAAGGCAACCAACAGTTGGGGATTCATCTTGGGACAGTTAGGATTTTCAAATTAGCAGTAGTAGTTATTTCCTCAACAAACTGAAGTACATTGTTCTTTTAAATGAACCACTAGATAAGACTTCTTCCTAATGTGCTGCCAAACAAATCATAGAGAATATGAAGGAACAGCAACAGAAGAGCAAACACACAGCAACAAATTCTGCTCCCTGCTGCATGACTAATCGGTGGTCCCAAAACAGGACACAATTGTTGCACTGAAGACCAGAATTTGACACAGGCTATTCAGTATTTTAGGAAAACAGGCAAATCTTCAAAAAATGAGATGAGAAATGATCTTATCCAAAGGGCACAGAGCTTATGTGATTTCAGCAAGCCTCACAGAACCACTATTGTCACTGTATTTTGAGCATACTTCCCAAAGTTCAGATAACACATATAACACAAATATTTCATGTCAAAAAATAAGACCAGACATAACCAGATAAATACAAAATGTTACTCCCGTTCAAACACAAACGTTTAAAATGGTAAACCTATGAAAATATTGTGTGCTTATTCAAACTAGGAGGTTCATACATTACTGATTTGATGATGCCAAATATTATTTTATGCCAATGTCTTCTCTATTCTTTTCTTCCTCTTTCTCTGCCTCTGTCCTCCTGTACCAAAGAAAAATCTCTCAGTTTCCTCCATTTTTCTCTCGAGGCAACACAAACTCAAAATGTTTCATACAATAAAAAGGAAACTTAGTAAGAAGAAAAAAATGTGCCACCTTTCATCAGACACTGTTTTTTCCTGTACTGCTACTCAACACAAATAGCCTGTCTTACTTACAATTTTCCTAATTACCCTAATTATCTTTTTTCAAAAAATATGCTACTTCTGGACAAGCCCATAAAATATGTCCTAAGCTACCCTCTTGCCAAAAGCTTTTTCCACAAGCTTTGCTAATCAGCTTCATGTAACTTACTCATTTTTGTAACGATTTATAATTAAACTTTGATAGGAAGCCCAGATACTTTGGCCATTTAACTATAATTCAAATTACCAAAAATTAAAGTTACAGTATACGTTGCAAACACAAAATGACTGATGAGATCACGTAACATCTCTCATAACTCTGAAGGTTTCCATCACTTTAAGTCTTTCAATGAGTAATAATGAGTCAAACTGAAACTATCACCAAAATAGGGTTAAACCAGAAAAAATTATCAGTGCATTTACGCTGACAGAAGACAGCCACGGTCTAAACTCACTAGAGTGCATGTAATGTTCACTCTCCTTACCAATAAGCATGTTCTTATTTATATTAAGAGGCTTGAGAGCAAAACCCAGAACCTTTATCCGAGTACTTACCTCAAGCATCTCTTATTCCTCAGGCCAGTCCACTGCCTCCTGGAATGTTTTCCCAAAGCACCGCAGGTTACTATCCCTCTCTCAGGGAAGTAGAAAGTCCTAAAATCACTTCTCTCCATTCTGTAACTTCATATTGCTTATTTGTTTGATGGACTGACATGGCAGTTAGAACAAATACTCCTGTTGTTCTTGATGCATGTTGTGTTTAGAGCATCTGTGAAGCTACAGGAGGAGAGGGGGACACACTGTTGGGACAAATGGAGTGGTTGCCTGGTCATTCTGGCAGGGTACACTGAGGTGCTGAACTATGAAGGGAAGGTCTTAAAAGCACTGACAGTATGCCATAGCCAAGCAACACATCACTTAATATTAGTTTTTGCAGCTTCATCAATACACTGGCCTAGGCATGTTCTAGAGTTTCGAGTAATTGCTTGTAAATTTTACAAATCTAGTGGGTTATACTAGATTTTGGGTTCCAGAGGGTTTTTTTGCAAAACAAACTAAACATATTATTGCTTTCACAAAGTAAGACACTTCAGCAATAAACAGGAACTTCCAGGAGACATTTAATGGCCTACGAAAACAACCGAATGTTAATGCTTGGATCAGGACAGCAATTGTCTTTGTTCTCCCCTCCAGCTGAGTAGAAGGCCTAATAGACTGCCTTGATGGAGTGGGATGGGTTGAAAAATCCCTGCTCCCACACCAAAAAACAGAGCTGTCTGGCCACTGTAATTACTGCTGGGTTATAGGTTCCACATGACTTCTTTGAAGGGATTGGTAGTAACCCTTTTAGTTATCTCAAGAGCTGTGTGATATCCTGGTGAACTTAAAAGTAATTTATTGCTCTTCTTTATTCCCTGCTGAACATGCCTCCTCTATTACTCTCTTTCTTGTCCTCTAGACTCACAATTTTAAGAAGATTACAGAATGGCCCCTTCATAGGGCCATTTTTATTTCCTGCTGAAGAAGGACCATCCCTTGGTAAATATAGACCAGATGCATCAGAAAGATGACATACAAAAAAATGGGCAGCTATTATTAAAAGATAATATAGCATAAAAGCAAACTATGTTAAAAACTGCCTGGAATGTTACAATTCAGATGTCAGAAAACTCTGAAATAATCATATCTGCCCTTAAGCCACTTGCCTCAGGACAGCTGCACAGATCGAGTACAGATCAAGTGAGTAGTGACAATTTTCAAAGCCTGTGACTGTGAAGAGTAGACCACTGGGTACTGTAGGTCACAGGCATGAGGCAAATAAAGTCTGACCCTACTTAGGAGGGAATGAAGGAATCTGAGGAAGACAGCTGCTAAAGGTAGGCAGAGTTTACCCTGCTGTTGGACTTTTTAAAGCAATGAAGTTGTCAGAGCTCCTTCCCAAGCAGACCAGAAAGGTGACTTAACAGGGCAAAAGAATCAATTCAACCACATAAAGATGGCTTACAGAGAACCTGACTGATTGATAACTTTGTCCCATTTCTACTGGAAAAACTGAACTCTGGCCAAGGTAAGTTGATATGGCACAACTGGAGAAAGTTTGCTCCTATAGTCCAAACCCAGCCAATTCAAAGCCAAGCTCACTCAGTCAGTAAGAATGAGTCCATTTCTCTCTCCGTACCTGAATGTAATTGTTGAAGTAGTTTCTTTTCTGTCTGGACTTCAGACTGGAAATTCAACACACTGCACCTCATATGCAGACTTCAGACAAAAACCTTGTCAGCTGCATGACCAGTTCCTAGATTGCTTACAATGATTTCTTTTTTAATTTATACATACAAGTATTAGGTTTACTTTTTCCTTTTTCAATACACTGATTTATGCTTAGAAGAAATAGTATGTGCCTGTCCCACCAAATACGTGCGCACATCTGGAAATGTTCAGGGTTGCTTAAGGTATTCTTAGTTTTGCTTATGTTTTCCAGGACAGAAGGTTAATTTAAGAACTTATTTGAAAGGCAATTATCTGGTCACAGTTTCTGCTGCCATCTCCAGAGAGTGGAAGTGAAGAGGGGAAAAAAAAAACCAGTGTCATTAATAAACACACCCACTTTATTCTGTTGTTTGTATTCCTAAGTTTTATGGGAAGGTTTGAGCAGTTTTAAAGGTTCTGAATCTTCTGAGATCCTCTCCTCAAGGAGACTGCTGTTGGTCTGCACTTCTGGATGTTGCAAAATATCCAATGCTACTTGACAGGGATAAGATCGTTTTCCCAACCAAAATGGCATTTGGTTATATAAGCTTTATCAATAATTTTTGCTCGTAATATTAAAATATCAACAATTTCAATATGAAAAATATAAGATCTTTCCTTTCAAATGTGGGTCAGAATTAATTTTAACATTTACAGTAAGATCTGGACAGAAATTCATATATTTCTAGCTAAAAGTTTGGCAACATTTTTAAAGTTTGCTGTATTTCAGACAGATTATAAAAATCTTAAATAAAACACCATTTAATTCCTACACACATATTTCCTCATCAACATTTTTTTCATCATTCATCATCATATTTGCAAGAAAATAACTCACCCTCTCTTAATCTCAATTTTTTTCTCTCAGGTGGGTAACACTAATATTAACATTCCAGGAATGAGACTAGTTCTTATAAAATAGTAAAAGAAAAAAAGTCCTTTGTTGAGTTTTTGCTGGAAATGCCAGAAGGAAAAAAACCAAAACAATTATACAAATGAACTTTCTAATATATTTGAACAACGGTGAGATTTGTTAGTTGAAAACAGGAGAGAATTTCTGGTTCTCTGGTAATTTTAATGGTAAAATGATCTAGGTGTGCTCCCATACAACACAAATACTGGATTCTTCATCAGCAATACCAACACAAGAGGAGACCTAAAACTTGACATTGACACATACAGTATCTGGTAGTCCAGAAATCAATAAGAGCAGTGACCTGCTTTCAAATGAAAAGCAGGAAGAATCTCTCCCAAAGGCCCAAATGTCTATATGGCCTTCCGACTAACCACCAAAATGCAAGAAAAATGTAGAAGCTTCATACATGACTACGGAATGGACAGAAGTAAAAGAACCACTTGTTTTAAGCATGTATCATTCATGTTTATATACACTACAAGTTGGAGTTTTTT